GGAAGGAAGGAAGGAAGGAAGGAAGGAAGGAAGGAAGGAAGGAAGGGAGACGGGCGGGCGCAGTGGCTCATGCCTGTAATCCCAGCACTTTGGGACACTGAGGTGGGTAGATCACGAGGTCAGGAGATTGAGACAGTCTTGGCTAATACGGTGAAACCCCCGCCTCTACTAAAAATACAAAAAGTTAGCTGGGTGTCACCCATCTCTACTAAAAATACAAAAAATTAGCTGGGTGTCATGGCACACGCCTGTAGTCCCAGATACTCTGGAGGCTGAAGCAGGAGCTTGAACCCGGGAGGCAGAGGTTGCAGTGAGCCAATATTGCGCCACTGCACTCCGGCCTGGGTGACAGAGCGAGTCTCCTTCTAAAAAAAGAAAAAGACAGCAAGCAAGCAAGCAAGCAAGCAAGCTAGCAAACAAGCAAGACAAAACCAAAATATCAGAGATGATAAATTCGTTGATGGGATTAACAGCAGATTAGACGTTGCAGAAGAAGTGATCAGGGAACATGGAACCATGAATAATTGAAAATATGCAAAATGAAACTCACAGACAAAAGATTTTTTTTTTAAAGAAATGAAAAGATTATCAGTGAACTGTAGGGCAGACTTAAGAGGCCTAATTTATGAGTAATGGGAGTCCCTGAAAAGGAGCGGGGAGGAAAGTAAACATTTATTTTCCTTCTTTGTTATTTTTGTTAGGAGTGGGGCCTCAGCATGTCGCGCAGGCTGGTCTCAATTCCAGGCCTCACTCAACATCTCCCGATTTGGCCTCCTGAAGGTGTAAGCCACTGTGCCTGGCCAATTTCTGAAGAAACAATAGCTGAAAAGTTCCCAATCATAATGAAAATTATAAATCCAGTGACCCAAGGAGCTGAGGAAACCGAAGCACAAGAAACATGAAGAAAACCCCTCCTGGATACATCAAAATAACATTGCTCAAATCCAACCAGAAGAAAAAGACATTGTACACACACAGGAACAAAGATGAGGATTGTGTCAGCTTCCTTTCTGCTCCTGCTGGCCTCTACCAGGAGCAGCAGTGCACACGAGGAGACAGAGAAGCAACATCTTTAAGGTACTGAGGGCAGGGGAAGTTAGCCTAGAATACTATGCCAGAAAAAATAAATTCCCAAAAGTGGAAGTGAAATAAGGACATTTAGAGATGTACAAAAGCTGACCGAATTCACTACCAGCCCGCCCACACTACAAGAAACATCAAAGCAGTCCTCCAGGCAGAAGGAATCCAATACCAGATGAAAATCCAGATCTACACGAGGAAATGAAGAACACCAGAAATGGGTAACTATACTAGGTATTTTCTCATTTTATAAATTTCTTTTGTAAAAATTTGACCTTTCAAACAAAAGCAATAACAATGTGTTGTGGGGTTTATAGCATGCATAAAAGCAAAGTGCATGTCAGCAGTAGGGTCAAGGCCAGAAGGTGAGGTGTAATATCACTTGAAGGTTGACTGTGATCAGTTAAAAAGGTTTGCTCTAAGCCCTAAGGCAATTACTAAAATAACAAAAGAAAAGAGTTATAGCTAATAAGCCAACAGAGGAGAGAGAATAGAATGATATAAAAACCGTGTGAACACTATGATAATTGCCCTTCCTGTAGTAATTGCACCTCTGTCCTGTAGAAATACACCAGTGGCTGAAAACGCCCGTGTAAGAATGACTAGAGCATTATATGTAATCGTAAAATCATACAACCAATTTAACTTCAAAAGTGTATGGAAAGGGCTAAAAGAATGACAGTTAAAATAAAAATAGAGAGAGAGAGAGGGCCCGGGCGCGGTGGCTCAGGCCTGTAATCCCAGCACTTTAGAAGGCCAAGGCGGGCGGATCACGAGGTCAGGAGATTGAGACCATCCTGGCCAACATGGTGAAACCCTGTCTCTACTAAAAATACAAAAATTAGCTGGGCGTGTTGGAGCGTGCCTATAATCCCAGCTACTCGGGAGGCTGAGGCAGGATAATCGCTTGAACCAGAGTCGGAGGTTGCAATGAGCCGAGATCCGCGCCACTGCACTCCAGCCTGGTGACAGAGCGAGACTCCGTCGAGAGAGAGAGAGAGAGAGAGAGAGAGAGAGAGAGAGAGAGATCCCAAAACCTTAGCGGACCTTGATTTACGTTCTCATGTCGTGTGGGAGACATGGAGGAGAGGAGGGTAAAGTTGGTCTTGTTCTGCCTTTCCACGAGAGCATGTGCTGGATAGAAGAAAATTGGCAGCGGTTTAAGCATTTTTAAAATGCAAGAAACACTCCGTAGAACTGGCTTGAACCAGCCAACTTCAGACTTGGAAGCAAGCACACCACCCGACTGCGACACACGGACAGTCGACCCTCGCTCCCGCATCGCTACGCCCATCCAACACGAGGCGGAGCCAACGCCTTTTGTAGAACAATTGTGCAGGCTCCAAAGCCTCGGAAAACCGGAGAGACGCATCTTGCCGGCTACAGTGGACACCCGTGCATTGGGTGATTCTGAAGCTAGAAGGGCAGCCAGATGGCCTTCGCCCCGTCCTGACCCTCGTCCACTGTAAGCTCAGGGGAGAGCGGGAGCCAGGGAGGTGAAGTGCACAGACTCAGCAGAGGCGGCGGGCAGAACCGCGGGGGTGAGAGGGCGCGGTGGCTGCGGGGCGGGAGCCGCTGCTGAAGGGAGGCCTGGGTTGTCCGGAGGGTGACTGTCGGTGGAATCTTTGGCGGAGAGTGGTTTGGAAGGATGGCGACGGGTGAGCAGAGGGGAAGGTGGTGACCCTGAGCGTCCGGCCAGGGGAGAGGAGGCTGTACTGTTTCTCCTCTCCCCTTACCTGCCGGAGGACAGACAGTGGTCAGGAAGGGAGTTCTCCCTGGACTAGGCTAGTCCACCGCACTTCGGCTGCGCTGATCCCTGCGATTTCCCCACACGCGGGGCCCTCGTCTGCGGTGCTGTTCGTGCTCCCCTGCGGCTGGGTTCGCGCACTCACTCTCCTGACAAGCCTTGGCTCACCGCCGACGCGGATATCGCCGCCACAGACCCTTCCCACCCTCCTAGGGATCTTGAGTGCGCTTCCTTAGATGTGAGCTCTCTTTTACACGCTGAATTTGGCTATAGCAAAAAAGCCCTGACCAAGAGCTTGGGTTTCCTTCGGACCTGCACACAACTCCCCAACTCCCGCCTGCAACCGCGGCTCTTGGCTCGCCGGCTGGCAGCGTCCACCGAGCGTGGAACCGGGCAGCCGCAGCCCCCGCAGGCTGGCGGGCCGCCACTAGCAGGAGAAAGGACACAAGGCCTGCGTGGTGGAAAAGCATGGGAGACGTCGCCTTCCTACGGGGCGAGAAGGTCTCCCTACAGTCTTTGGAGACCAGATGGATGGAGGTATCCCTTTCAGGAACAAGGCGGCTGCTCCTGAGGCCTGACTCCGCACGGAGGCTCCTGGGTCCCGCGCACCCTCTCCCTACCCGCTGTAGCCAGAGCTGCTTCACACATCTCAGCTGGCTTCCTCTTCCGCCTCTACCTCCTCTTCCTCCCCAGCCGTCCTTGGAACAGCAAGGCCCCCAGCCCGTGGGAAAGACCTAGCCTCCTCTCCAGCACTTGGAGAGGGAGTCGGATAGATGTCTCTTAACACCAGGAGGACAGAGACACCTTCCCTTGCTGCTTCTCTTGGCGCAGCCGGTCCAGGGGGCTGGCTCAGGGCCCAGGACTCCTTGCTCCTCCTGGAGGGCCTGGGTCGCGTGGCCCAGGAGCTGGCCACATGGGCATCTCCCGCACTGCTCCTCAGGGAACGGGAGGCATTATCCTGCAGGGCCCATTCTTACCCATGAAAGACGCTCGGGAAATGCTCCCACGGAAGCCGGAGCTCTGCGCGTTTGACCACTTCGAAGTTAAGTTTCCGTCCGCCCATCCTTCCTTCGGAGGGTCTGGGGGGAGAGGAGAAATGCCCGAGGACGATGCGCTTTGCAGCGTCTCAGCCGAGACCAGAGGAAAGCAGGGCGCGTCTTCCTGGAAGAAGGTGGCCCGAGGCCTGCGGTCGCAGGGAGGCTCGCGGAGCAGGAGCGCCCTCTCTCCGCCGAGCTATCCAGCGGCTTGCAGCATCCCACCTGGCGGACTCCTCTTCTTCTCGCTTCTCCTACTGCGGGTCTTCTATCCTGGTGTTCCTTGAATGCCTATCTTCCTTTTGTGCCTCGGAACCTCTCACGCCCGCCACAAGTTACTGATTTCCTTGGTTGTTCTGAACTTTAAATAAGGTAATGCATGCAAGAGTGCCATAAATGCTCAGTAATTGTCATGTTATTATTTTCATCAGTAACATCATCTGAATCATCAGTATTGTCTTTTTAACAGCTGCGTTTTTCATCGTCCGTATATAGTCACATACATTTGAACATTTTGTAATTATTGAGTAATAAATTCGTTCTGCTATTTTACAATAAAAAACAATGCCGCAGAACGTATTCTTACACATATATCTTGGCAGATGTAGGACAGAGGCTCTTCTTTTACCCATCCTGTGGCCAGCCTATCAATGTATACACCTTTAATGCGATTTTGCCAGCAGTCAAAGCCTTCAGGGAAAATGTCCCTAGCTCTTTACCACATCGGATCAAGGACTCTGGACAATTGGCACAACATCCTGGAATCGCTGAAACGGAGATACTATTCTCTGCTGTTCTCTGTTGACTGTGTCTTTTCACAACGTCTTAATGACAGTGCTGGCGGCAAGAGGGTAACCATGTCAGTGTTCTCCTGCTGTTCCTGCCTGTGTGGGTCTTCTCCCAAACCCGACTTTCCTCCAGCAGCTGCACTGAAAAAGAGGAGGGGCTGCGGGGTGGGGGGTGGGGCGGTGGGAAGGGGAGGGGAGGGGAGGAGGAAGTAAACTGAATAGGGAGGAAGCTTCTCACAGTCCAGGAGAAGGTAAGGAAGGGAGTCAAAGACAGAATTTTCTTCAGCAAACAGTAAAAGGGGAAATTTGCAGAAGCTAAGAGTTTTTAAACCCTTTGCTCCATCACATAAGTAATCCCTGATTTTCTGTTACACAAATCAGCACTCCTACTCCTCCCTCCCTCCTCACCCCCAATCCTGATTCCTGTTTACAAAGAATGTTCAAAAGCAAGGAATTGTGTATAACAGTTCCCAGTTTACTCAGGAAATTCTCAGATTACAAAGAGACATTACAAATAAACAAGTGAAGAGAAGAACCTTGGTGGGTCCAACATAGTATGGCCATCATTTTATACTCAAAATATAGAAAGACAATCTCAGAAAAAGAAAACTTTTAGAATTGAATAAATCAAGTTTATTATTAAAACGCAAAGAAGGCCGGGCGCGGTGGCTCAAGCCTGTAATCCCAGCACTTTGGGAGGCCGAGACGGGCGGATCACGAGGTCAGGAGATCAAGACCATCCTGGCTAACACGGTGAAACCCCATCTCCACTAAAAAATACCAAAAACTAGCCGGGCGAGGTGGCGGGCGCCTGTAGTCCCAGCTACTCGGGAGGCTGAGGCAGGAGAATGGCGTGAACCCGGGAGGCGGAGCTTGCAGTGAGCTGAGATCTGGCCACTGCACTCCAGCCCGGGTAACACAGCAAGACTCCGTCTCAAAAAAAAAAAAAAAAAAAAAAACGCAAAGAAAAAAAACCTCTCCAAATGCTGCTGATTTTCTGTTTTAAACTACTGTTAGACTCGGGAGCCGGAGAGTGGGAGAATCCGCCAAAGATTTCTGGATGAAAATTAATCATCCCTTGTCTACCATAGCCACACCCCAGTGCCCCTCAGACCCAATCCTTCGAAGGAGTGTCCAAGAGGTAAAAAGAAAAGCTGGAAAAACAGTTCCCACATTCTGGAGTTCGTTTTCTCTCATTGAAAATGTAAATATCAGACTAACACCTGTTGACACACAATAACAGGGACACAGAATCCCTCCCGGAAGACCGACGGGCCCACAGACCCTGTGGATGCCACAGTGGTTGATGAGGTTAAGTAACTTGGTTCAGGGTGTCTGGGCACACCTGTGCATGAGACTCTGTCTCTGCTGCTCCCCTCATCTCTACAGGGATACCTCCTCACAATCCTCCCTTTCCTTGGGTCGCTGACGCCTCTCTGACCAAGGAAGAGTCTCCCCGGCCCCCGCAGCTTCTCTCCTTTCCGGACCTTTACTTCTTGATCCTCACTCCATAGTGAGATGTAGTCTAAGGTAGGGGAAAGCCCAGCATGGGAATCCGTCTGATGGCCTTTGGGTTACCCAGGGATTTGCCCGGAGACTATATGAAAGTAGCAAAGGCTTTATTTAGTTCCCAGTATTCCAAACTGCAGCAACCCACCAGAAACACCCCCACTTTCAAAGACAGGCTTTGAGCAGAGGAACTGTAAATTCGAGATTAGATCCAGCACAGAAAACACTCCAGAGGTGGCCCGCCACTTGGGTTAGCTTCCAGCCACCATGACCCAAGGCCCCTAAATGCTGTACAGCCTGTGTAGTACAATAACTTTGTTGGGTAGAAATGTAACAGCCCTTCAAGCATAAACTTGGAGCATGAAGGGTAAGAAGGCCTGCTTTGGCCAGAAGTTGAACCCAGGTCTCCCGCGTGGGTAGGGAGAACGCCACTGCTGAACTACCAATGCGGGTGCGGTTTCACTAGATCTAATTTTGAAGAGTCTCTGGAAGGACTTTGAAGCGGTGTTTCTAAAATAGGTTTGTATAGGACTCTTGAGTAGATACAGCGAGCAAACAGAAGGGACACCCAGAGCAAAGTCTTGCATAGAGGACATATGTCAGGCAACATTATCAAGTTATTTATAATGCATTTAAATCAACATGCCAGATTTCAAAGAGCCTAATTGTGAAACAGGCTCTATACAACTAGATAACAGACCTCTATAGGAATACACAGGAAATTCATCCAGGCCTTTGTCTCTGGTCCTAGATCTGGCAAAAACCTCTGGAAATTTCATTTCCTCACTGATGATGTAATCTTTTTGCCAACCCATGCCTTGGTGCTTCCCAAACCCTTTCCTCTCAACCTTGAGACAATCACCAATTCTTTCCCTAAACAGGCTTTCAAAGACCCAGGAGCTGGAGATTTAGGGATGTGTCCAGGTTACTCTGGAAGATCTGTGGGATGTTCGAGCTTCTCTTCATCCACACCTCTTTTGAGTCATGTGAAAAAGACAAGTATCTTGCTTTTAAACTCATGTTTTTAAGAAACCTACAAAAGTGGGAGTGAGTGAAAATTCACTCCAATATTTCTTTTCTTAACCACACTGTCTTTGGCCACTCCAGGAGGCATGTCAAGTGGCACATTTATCCCAGGGACCCAGAGCTTTTCTTCTCAGATGCGTCTTTTGAGTCTCTAGAAAAGTCCAAGGATCAAAATGACTGTCTTCCAAACTTTTGTGTCTTACAGAGATCTGCACAAGAGAGAAAGTGAAAATTTCACTCCAAGATTTCTTCCCGTGGCAAACAACAGAAGGTTTAGGACAAGCCTTTGCTTCAAGTGCCTGTTGCTTTGTTAGCTCTGTTTTCCAAAGACATCTGTGTAAGCCTACTATAGAACATTCCCACCTCCATCCCCCCTGCCCCTTCATGTCTGCTCATAACACTAGAGTTTTTTTGTTTTTTAACCCATGAGAGGTTATACCACATGGAACACTGATGGTTCAGTAATAGAATTGTCAACTCCCACGCTGGAGACCGGGGTTCACCTCATACGGTGAATGCATCCCATGTCTGAATCTGCTCTAGCCCCCTTCCCCTTTCTTTCCTCCCTCCTGAGCTTACACACCTTTGTTACCAGCTGGTGTTCTGAAGTCCCAGGTTCTTGGTGTCTCAAACAAAGAATTGAACATGACACACACACGTAGCAAAGCAGCAAAAGATTTATTAAGCACAGTAACACTCTCAGAGAGGGGAGAATGGGCTGACCTCTGCAAATGAGATCAATGTAAGTTTGGTGAACTTTGGGCTTTGAATCTTTCTACAGTTTTTTTTTTTTTTCTCCTTTTCCTGGGGCTGCCTAATCTCTACCCAGCATGTGCCTTCTGATTGATAGGTGGGTTGCTTAGTTACTTTGGCGCTTGTGCGCTTCCGCATCATCTTCATCCCATAATTTTAAGTATATCCATGATATGCAGTCTATATGCATTAGCTTTAATGAGCTGATTATCACATGGGATCATTTTAAGGCTACTTTTTCTCTCTCATATGCATGCCTATCTCTGAGGAGCTGCCCTTACTGGTTTGCTCTGGATCTTGCCAGCCATAAGCTTTTTAGTCACTACTTTTATCTCACTTTTGTTTTCGCTGCTCAACTTCTGCTTCCGAGTAACTGGGATTACAGGTGCGTGCCACCACGCCTGGCTAATTTTGTATTTTTAGTAGAGATAGGGTTTCACCATGTTGGCCAGGCTGGTCTCGAACTCCTGACCTCAAGTGATCCACCCACCTTGGCCTCCCAAAATGCTGGGATTACAGGCATGAGCCACCGTGCCCGGCCGAGACTCAATCTTTAAAATAATGAAATAAAACAAAAACATAAACCTCAAACAAGCAAAAAGACAAACTATGATTTCAATCATTGTGAAGCTCTTGATCTAGTGTGTGTGTGTGTGTGTGTATATATATATATACACACACCAAAAATACTGTAATTTCAGAGAAGTGCTATAGGGTCTAATGTTTAACAACTTCTGGCATTTGACTGATGGTGTTTAAAGCTCTTCCACCATTTTCCAGGGGTATAAATCGAGGCAAGTTATTTGGTATTTACTACATTTTGGCTTCTTCATATGCAAGGGGGTTATGACAATAATACCTACCCCATGAGGACGGTATGAGGACTAAACGAAATCGTGTATGTATAGCCTGGGCCAATACCTATAGATGTTGAGTACTCAACTAGGTGGTAGCTAGTAGATTTTAAATTTGTATTTATTCTTATAGTTTTTAAGGTAAAATTTACATTCATTGAAATGTTACCTGTGTGTTTTTTGACAAATGAATACACTTACGTAACTCATATCCCTATCAAGACAGAGACCATTTTTACCACCCAGAAATTTCTCTCATGTATCTTCCCAGTCAATCCCCTGCCAGAGGGAACCACTGTTATGATTTTTTCACCACAGATTAATTTTCTCCTTTTTAGAATTTCAAATAAATGGGAAGGTATGTGCTCTTTTGTGTCATTTATCTTCACAGACTTTAAAATAAAAAAGTTACAATTTTAAACCTTTTGGGCATATAGTAAAAATCTCCTTTCCACCAGTAGCCACCAGTCACCAGTCTTCATTTCTCTCTCTCTCTCTCTGCTTTTTTTTTTTTTGAGACAGGATCTTGCTCGGTCGTCCAGGCTGGAGTGCAGTGGCATAATCATGGCTCACTGCAGCCTCAACCTTCTGGGCTCAAGCAATCCTCCCACCTCAGCCTCCCAAATAGCTGGGACTACAGGTGCCTGCCACCATGCCTGGCTAATTTTGCTTGTATTTTTTGTAGAGACAGGGTCTCACCAAGTTGCTCAGGCTAGTTTCAAACTCCTGAGCTCAAATGATCTCCAGGCCTTGGCCTCCCAAAGTGCTTGGATTACAGGTATGAGCCACTGTGCCTGGCTTAGTCTTCCTGTCTTGAAGCAACCAATGTTATTAGTTTTATGTGGGCCATCCCATGGCTTATCATTATTAATTCAGGTGTTTATACAAGGCTCTTTATGCACTCAGTTTTAAAGGTTAC